TTCTTCCTCGTCATGAGCATGGACTCGTTGTCCTAGGGCTGCTAGGCCCTCGCATACCGGATGCTGGGACGGGCTTGCTTTTTGGCCACCGGCGCGCCGGCGGCCTACGTATTGCTGCACACGCCAACAACAGCCCCGTCGCCAGACCCGCGCTTCGAGGCGAACCGCTGCGGGACGCGCGACGAGGGCCTCGCGCGCCTGCGGGCCGACGGCTTCGCCACGGTGCCCGGCGTCGACTGCGCGCGGCTCGCATCGACCCTCGACAGCCGTCGGCGACGGCAGAAGGCCGTGGAGGTCTCCAGGGGCCGGCTCCACTACGACCTCGTGCACTCGCGGCACCGAGACGACGCGGACCTGCGGCGGAGCATCGAAGCGCTCGCGGGCCCGCTCCGCGACATGGCCGAGGCCTACTGCGAGACGCGCCGCGTGAAGCTGACGCAGGTCCAGTTCCTCGACTCAATGCCCGGGTCCGCGGCGCAGATCTGGCACAGCGACAACGCCGCGCGCGGCCTGACGTTCATGCTGCCGCTCGAGGCGATCCGATGCGACATGGGCCCGACGGAGGTGCTGCCCCGGTCCCACGCGTCCTGGGCCGCGTTCCCGACGACGCGGGCGCTCAGCTGCGGGCCCGTGGAAACGGGCGACGCGCTGGTTTTCGACGCGCGGCTCCTCCACCGCGGCGGCGCGAACGAGAGCCGCGCGTGTCGCCGCGTCCTCGTGCTCCGCTACGACGTGAGCGACCCGCCGGGGACGGGGCTCCTCGGCACGGCCCTGCGGCGCGTCGTCGCCCACGCCTGGGCCCAGCTCTCGGATCTAAGCTAGCCGCTCGCTTACCCGCTCGCCCCGGTTGCCTGAAGGCAGCAACGACCTGTCCGAAACATTGCACGTGTCCGTTGCATTATATGTGAAGTTCGACGTCTGAGAGCATCAGCCAAAGTGGGCAGTCCTCGGTGAAGCTCTACGCAGAACGGCCAGAACCCCGAAGAGTTGGCAGCGCCCGCCACCGCGCCCGCCAAACTCGGAAAGAGCCCGCCGCCCTCGGCCCCCGTCCCGCCGCCGCCCGCGCGCCCGCAACGCACGAAGCCATGGCCGCCTCCCTCGGGGCAGCCCCGCGGTCGCCCCTGTCCTGCCTCGGCAACCGCACCCGGCGGCGGGGCGCCAGCCCGCCGCCGGCGCCGGCACGGAAGCGTTTCTGCGCCCCGCGCGTCGCCCTGCTCCCGGCGCCCGAGGTCCAGCGCCTGCGGCGCCTCCTCGCGGCCGCGGTGTCGGAGGTGTCGGAGCCCGCGCCCCACGCCGCCGACGAGCGCGCGTGCGCCTCGGACGACGACGAGGAGCTCGACGGCGCGCGCACGCCCATCGACAAACGCCCCCTCGCCGACGCCGCGACGGTGACGCCCGACGCCCGGCCGGAGCGGCCCCCGTGCCTCGAGAGCTTCGGCGTCCTCGCGCTCGACGACGACCTCCGGAGGCCGCCGCCCTGAGCGGCGCCCCGGCCGCACTCTCGAGCGCGAGGGCCCGCCCTGCAGCGCGAAATCCTCCCTTGCACACGCCCGCCGCACCCATCTTCTGGGGCCCCGCCGCGACGTCCGCTACTTCGTCCGACTCCGTTCCCGTCCCCGACCTTTTTTTCGCGTGATGTATAGTCTCGTGTTTCTAGCCGCCGGCGGCGCCCCCTGGCTAGTGGCCGAAGCGCTCGATGGTCGAGGAGAAGGCGCCCTGGATCGTGTCCGCCAGGGAGCCCGCGCCGCGGCCGTCGCCGCCGGCGTCGTCGTCGAAGAACGAGTCGGAGCCGAAGCCGCCGGCGCCGGCGAAGCGCGACGACGCCGACGGGTGGCGCGGCGGCGGCGGCGGCGGCGCGCCGCCGTCGTCGTCGAAGAACGCGTCGGAGCCGAAGCCCTTCTTCGCGCCGAATTTGCCGACGGCCGTCGCCGCGGCCGCGGGCGCGGCCGCGGGCTTCTCGGCCGCGGGCTTCTCGGCCGCGGGCTTGGGCCGCGACCCGCCGA